TGGGAGAGTATTCAGATCAGGAGTCGGAACATCATGCAAATCATTCATTTCGTCCTCGCGATTATTTGGCTCACTGTTTTCGCGATTGTTCATTGAATTTCGATTTCTCACGGATGGATTCTGCGATTGTCTCGCTCGCGAGCACATACTCTGCGTGTGTCTCGCCCGAGAAGATTGACTCTACGATTGTCTCGCAGGAGAAGATGCACTCCTCGATTGCGCAGAGGCGCTCGCTCTAATCTCTCGAAGGATATTCACAGCAAACAAACTTCGCCCCACAACCCGCACAAAATTCTTTATGAGCACGCTCATCTTCTTTCCTCCTATGATTCTTAACCGCAACTCTCAATGCACGCATGCGTTTAACATGAAAGTTTGGTCGTCTTCCCTGGTTTTTCCTTCGTTTTGAAATTTTACTCGACATCGAACATGATTCATTAACATTGATTCTATCGACTTGTTTCGTTCCTCCACTTGCCTCTACAGTACTTTCAACAACTATTGCACTTCCATCATAGCCCGATGACACACGGTGAGGCATCGACGACAACGATCCAAGTTCCAAATGACGTACGACTTTATTGGCACGCAGTCGTTGAATCAACAATATACGGTACCGTTTGTTGCGCATTGAACAAATTGGTTTCCATAATAATAATCTTCTCCGTCGATTATGAGATCCAATAAACTTTCTAAACAATGTGTTCGGCGAATTCGGTTGGGCCGTGGCAGCAAAAGATGGATGTGCATGAACATTTGTCAAAGTGGGAAAAAGGTTGCTCTCCACACATTTTTGTCGGACATCGGCAGTCAATGTCGACGATGAACAATTGTGCACATGTGCCGAGTGCAAGGGAAAATAATCGACTAAAACCGATCTTTCGACCATCGAAACAGAATCTGCATTTATTGCAACATCCGTAGGAATTTCAAGTGGACGTTCACTTTGCAAGGTCATAGAAAGATTTCCATGACAACTAATGCGATCCATACGAACATTGATATTTCCTTGACTCGTTCTTTTCATAAACACAGGGCTTATGAAATCATTCATCGACTGAATCGTTTGTCGAAAAGATTGAGATCTATCACTATATTGTTCTTCGGGAGAACAATCAGGACCATCATCTTGAGTTACCACTGGTTGTTTATCTCTCCTGGGAGCAATCCCCTCACTTGCAGCACCTACCGCCTGTTGTAAAGACCTTCGGGTTCGACGACTTTGGTCCGCGTTGGTGGTGTTCGTGTTGTGATGACATCGGTGTGTCACTCTCAAAGCGACCGGGAGTAATATTCGAACCTATACGCAATCTCAATCCATGGTTGGATGAGGAAGAAGGGCAGTCTAACGAAGACAAACCGACTTGACCTGGAAGAACGGAAGGACACCCAGTACACTCTGATACCAGTGGCGAAGACACCCGAGGATCCTTAACAACCCTTTCACAACGCCGAAGGCATTTGCGACGCTTCCACGGAATATGCAAGGACCTATCCGCGGGTGAAGAGAAGGTTGGAACGATGAATAAATTATTGTTGGTTGAATCGTGATGTGGACCTTGGTCCTCTGCCATGTTAATGGGCATGTACGTACGTATTTGTACATGGGCACGTCACAGCGGATAGGAGGAATAAGATGCATACAGAAAACCAAAACGAAAAGAATACACCTCAAAACATCCATATATAGATGTAATTATATGAAAAATAGTAATATAGTGTCAAGTAGGAAAAAAAATAAAATAAAAAAAAATGTAGTGCAACACAAAGAACGCAGCCAAAATGTGAAACACAGACGATAAAAAAAAAAAAGGAGTCAGTTGATTTTTTTTTTTTTAGCGTATCTATCGAGGTTTATCAATGTTGATTCACATCGGAATTTATTTGTTCGTGCAAATATAGATGTATAAGTCCACTTTTATGTTTTTGCAAACGTTTAAATGAGACCGAAACTTCTTTGAACTCCTATTGAGGTTAATTAAGACGCCTCCTATTTTATTTGTATGCCTCATTCATTTCTTATGTTCGATTTCTGATCCTTTACGCCCCTTAGTCTTTTCAGCGCCACATGGCCGGTCCCCTCGTCAGTCCGTTTTAGTGACAAATTCTCCGGATAGCACTGTTCAAACTTGGTCCAGATCTCATCAAGTTCCAAATCAGCCTGATTCTTCTTCGCAACTATCCAACTTACATCATCTACTAACCGCACGCCAAATACTCTCTGCCTTTTGGTTCCCAGGCTGCAAAGAAACTTATATTCTTCATGGGCACAAAGGATACAGGCCAAAGGTGGGCTTGTACTTTTGCCCGTCGGGATCCCAACCCGTTGCTGCAGCAGAACATCCAAAGCAAAGGTGTAGGTGTGTGCAAGCTCCAAACGAACAAACTTAAACAAATCATCAAAATCCAAGCAACGCCAATGATCCTGTCCTGTTGTCACTCCAAAGGTAGAGCCACGTCCCCTTGTGTTGACTCTCACTGACTTTCTCCCTTTCTCTTTGTGCCAGGTGATGATCCACTCGAGTGCAGTCAAAATCTCAGTATGTGGCAAACGATCAAACATATCTTTAATATTGTAGGAACGTGCAGTCAGTTGTCTATTCAAACCCAGTCGAGTGCATTTCTTGTTGACGTCTTCGAGTCGCCCCGTCAGGTCAGAGACAACTTTGAGGTTGAAATGCAGATCTTGAGGCAATGAGAAGAGGAGATGGTTCAGTCCCTTCGCCACCGCCTTGCACATACATGTTGTTGGTTCTGAAAAGGTAGGGCATATCGGTCTGTACCTCTCAAGGTCCTTGTGCTTCGGCAGAGCATAGGCCTTACCTATCTCCCCTTTCGTATCCCACTTTGCGAACGCCGACAGCCCTTCATCTTTCAACGCCAGTCTCAGGGCGGCCAAAGCATCGGCTCCCGTACCCAGGATAGGAATATAGCTTTCATTCCGTAAAAATAGATCGAACATCCCCTGGTAATACAACGATGGACAGATGAGCAGTGTTTCACAAGGTTCCGGTCCAAGGGCGTGAGAACAAGTCCCTCGAATCTCGACTTCAACTCCAAAACATCCCGTTTGTCAAGAAAACCCCTATCGTCAGTCACAGACTGCATACATGACCCAACCTCAGATCTCGAGCAGCTAATCAACATGCCCTTACCGTTAGTCCAATTCTTGAAACCATCCGAGATCTCGACACACAAATGTCCCAATCGATCATCCATTCGAGCCAACGGAACGTTGTTCGCATTAAAAGCCAGACTAGGGATTCCTTCAACCTCCTGCAATCTGCATCAAACGCGCCCTCTTACCCTGGGGTAAGGAAAGCCTGCGCAAGAGCAGGCTAATACATCAGCCCGAGCGAATACACGCTGGTTATGTATCAGTTCGGCCACTCCTGGGTTTTTAGTCCAGATGATGCGAACAGTTGCATGTGTCCTGCGGATAATGCAGGGTGGAAGTTCACACTTGTCCAACTTGTCGTTAACGAGCTTCCTAACTTCACACAACTTCACTCTGTCGTCATACACCAATCTAACGACTAACGTTGCATTCATGCTGAATCCAAAAACATCCCGAATGACGCGTGACAGAAGGCGTCTCAGATATGCTTGCGTGGACAGTCGCTCGAAGTCTTTCGTTGCCCCAAACAAACCGTCTAACTCTTCCAAAGTCCAAGAGCGGAACTCGTCCAACTTCCTCGGGTTCTTTAGGAGGGCGACCAGGGTGGGTTTATACTTACCCGCTTTAGGATACCATCTGCGAAGGTATCTAACCTCGAAAGTCCCACCCGACTCAAATAGTGCCTTGCATTCATGGAAGCGCCTTGCCACCCCATCGATTTTGATAGATGTTTCCCCGAATGCTCTCCTCAGACGCCGCCAAGAGTCGCACCACGTCCGTCCTCCACTTGATTGAAGTCGAAAAGTACGGTCTCTCACTACTTTCATGCTTGACTAGCAGGTCAAAGATGCGAATAGTTGGTTCCTCCTCCTTGACCCAGAAACGGATCGGTTCCACTATCCCCTGCTTAGTTTCGTCATCAGTCTTCTTTTCAACAGAAACACTCCGCTGTCTCTCCTTCTTCCCCAACCGTCCCCTTCGCTTCTTACTCCCGACTCGCCCGGTCGTGTTCAGATAAGGCGACCATCTCTTGATATAAGACTCTAATATCAGCAAATCCTCATTGGTACAACTGTCTACTGGTATTAACGTGTAGGTCTTCTCTCCAAAAGCTTCCCACCAGCGGTACAAGTGCGTCGATTTCCGTCGGTTAGAGAGTACTGAAAGGTGCTCTCTCCAACGGGTCATCGGTTCCCTTGACGTTTGACCAACGTACTGTAGCTTACAGGTAGGCGATGTGATTATGTACACGCAACCGGCAGATTCGAGGAAATCTAAGCCCTTCTTAGAGAATAGATCTAACCATGCTGGGACACACTTTTCTAACCAACGAACGAATCCTCTCAAAGCTAACCAAATTACAAGCAAGCTGTAAATCCTTTCGACATTACCGTCGACTGTCGTCCATTGCATCCGGAATTCTACAACCCGTTCACAGATTTCACACCACTGTTCAGTCGACAGCGAAGTTCATGCACTCTCCTCCTCTTCATCGTTCGAGGTGTCGACAGTTTCGGACTCAAGCACGATGATCTCAGGCACCCTTACTTCGGTGCCGAATTTCAGCTCCGCTCTACGATCAGCGATGTCGAAGATGGCCTGGAGTTTGGTCTTGTATGGTATGCCCTCCTTGGCGCATATCACGCGGATCTCGTCGTGGTGGATGGGGATGAGCTCCCTCCTTTGGGCTTCGAGGAACTGCATCCGCTCCATCGTCGCATCCCGATTGGATGCTTTGACCGCGGTCATCGCCTTCCAATTCAATCGGACCGTGCATGTCTTCTTCAGAACCGGTCGAGTAGTGGCTTCATTGCTGTCCGTCTTGTGACGCGCTTCGCTGGTGTCGTCACCGGTGAGCTGTTTCCGATCGGTGTGTCCTCACCACGCTTATGTTTCTCGGTAATCTGCAGCCCTTCTGTACTCTTGGTGATGCCTTTAATCTCACTGGCATTTGCGGAACCTGATGTGGATGCAATCGCCTCCGGTCCCTTGCCTTTGTCTTTCGGAGGCAGGAGTCCTTCGGTTATCACTTCCCGTACAATATTCTTCAGACGGTCGTCGACCGTACCGAAGCGCAGTCCCACTGATATCTCAATTGCCTTAGCCATAGCTTCTCGGTCAGCCTCCCGCTTCCATATCTTCTCCAGCTTCTTAAGCTTCTTCAACTCTTCTAGACGTTTCACCTCCTCCCGGGCTAAACGCTCTTGTTCTTCACGTTGTTTAGCCTCTGCTTTCTCACGTTTCTTGTTCTCTTTAGCAGATTGGTGGGCCATCTCGGCGTCAACGAAGGACTTCATGGCTTCTACCGTCTTCTCGAGCTCCGTCGTACGAGCTGCGGTCTTAGGCTCCTCCGATGGTGATCGTTTAAAACTCATAACCGGGTTACGTCGCGGTGAAGACGATCTCCTGCGTCGTTGGTACTCCGGTGGGCAATGGTAGCCGTCAGCTTCCAATTGCCTGCGCGTTTCCGGATTAGTCCACAAACGCTAGCAGTCGCTGCGGTAGTGACCCACTGCCTTACAGCCGAAGCACACCACAGGCTGCGTGCGTCGAGGTGCATCGCCCACTTCATTTCGTTCATCACGGCTCCGCGCTGGTCGTTCCCGGACTTCACGTCTTGGTTAGCCACGGTCTTGTGGCTGTTGCTCGCGATCGCGGTTCCTTCCGCGATAGCTACGGTCTTGCTCGTCGCGATTATACCTTCTCCGATCATCATCGTATCGATCGTCCCGATACGACATCCCCCCTGCCTCTCCAACAACTTCACGGATGTATACGCTCTGTAGTCCAACTCCGTACACAAACAGGTCACTTCGTAACTTTGTAACTGTAAAACGTGCTCACACTCTCCCGACACAGCATCCGGGTGGGTTTACACGCGCTTCAGCAGGTAAGTAGGATGGACAGATTCCAATGCAAAAAAGACGTCGAACATGCTCATCATGTTGACAATACAGAGAAGCAATGGCGAAATAAAAGCGTTGAATTCAAATTACAGATCCAGAAAAGCGGATCCCCGACCGGTTTCGATCTCCTCCCGACGATCGTCCTCAAGGGGGTTCTTCCTCCTTCTTTCCCCACACACCCTTCGTTCCACATCCCACCTCCGTGGCATTAGCGGCATCCCGGAAATGCCGAACGCCCCGTCGGTCCCGGAGAGACAAAATACGATCCCATCACTGCTTATATTCGGTCGGTACCATTCGCGCAGTTCAAAACTCTAGAAACGACAAACAAAACGACAAACCCCGAAGGGATCAAACAATCCAGTAGTCCCAAAACCAAAACACCAAAAACAGGTCTATTCGGACCACGTTCTGTCTGTTACAGACAGGAGGTGTCCGGTTCCTTCGGCTATTCTAAAAAACAACGAAAAACAAGAAATTCACAGACCAAGCCACACGGTCTCTATGGTACACAACAAGCCTCACAAATCAAACAGACAAACAACTACAGCAAACGAAAAAACAAACAAACGGCCAAGGAAACATGCCCTGTCCAAATTCAAGACAAAAAACCACCACAATTCTCACAGTGTGGTGGATATCGACTACCCTCCCTCGCCGTCGAGCCTATCACTCAAATGTGTCCTTCATAACTTCTGCAGACGTAACCCCACCGTTCATTACCTCTGTGAGCTGGTCACCCTTGGACGTGGTTACCCTTACATCCTACATGCCTCATCCTGCGTGCCCACCATTCCGTGGACCTGTCTCCCTCGCCTTCTCCCAACCTCTGTACCCTACCTGATCCTCGGGCCCAAACCTGCGCCGAGCCTGTGTTCCCGACCTGCCTTCTGTCCCGGACCCTGTCTCCCTGACCAGGGCCTCCTTGCCTGCCTCCCAAGCGGCATGATCAAGCTCATGACCACGCCCAAGCAAACACCTGTGTGTGTGCCTGTCTGTGTGAATGTGTGCCTGTCTGTGTGAATGTGTGCCTGTCTGCCTGTCTGCCTGTCTTCTTGAGTCGGTGTGTCTTCCTATCTGTCTACCTATCTGCCTGTCTGCATGTCGGTCTCCCTGCCTGCCTGCACAGCTGTCGGTCTGTCTTCCTGAGTCTGTGCCCCTACGAAAATGCGAAATAAAAAAAGAAGTCAGAGTCTGCACGTCAGCATATGTGCCATTGATTGGCGTAATCTACGGTCAGATATTAAGAACTCGGGTAAGTGGTTGGTTGGTTGGTTGGGTGGTTGATTGGGTGGTTGGTTGGGTGTTTGGTTGGGTGGTTGGGTGGTTGGGTTAGGTGGTTGGTTGGTTGGCTGTTCAGGTGATTGGTTCAGGTTGTTGGTTGGATGCAATGGGTCGTTGGGTGGTTGGGTGGTTGGATGGTTCTGTGGCTGGGTGCTTAGCTGGTTGGGTGGTTCGGCGGTTGGGTGG